TTCTGAACTCCAAAATAACCCCAAAACCAGAACTTTGAAAGTAACTAAAATAGTTACTCTAAGGGTTCGAACAGACAGGCCAAATAAAGCTTCTTTGGGCCACTTTGGAAGTGTGCTGTTTAAACGATGCATGCGTCCTAAGAGGTCAGAAGCCACGCTAAAGTCGCATTCCAGTCCTAAGGACCAGAGTCCAGCCTTGGCGCGGCTTTCTTAGGACACGTGTGTCATTTATACAGCACATCCCCAAAGAGCTGAAAGACAGCTTTATTTGGTCTGTCTCTTCGGGCCCGAAGATATTTTCTGAAAAAACATCTGAATGCTATACGTTGTGACTATGGTACAAAACCCACTTTCTTCGAATCTAACTCATTCATTCCTCAACACACACTCCAGAGCATTAGGCACATCATAAGCCAGAACTTGGACCATGTGATATTCCTCCTCCACCATTTAGTGAGGCATAGACCTGTAAAAGTAACAGTTACATTGCACAAGTAATGAAGCAATCCTTTGTTACGTTAAAATTGTAATCTAATGCAGTTAGACCTTCATTACTAGGGAAAGAAATTAATAACTAATGTTTGGAACAAATACCCAGTAATTTGTAACAAATTATTACCATGTGGTATTATCACAGATAGGAAAATTAACTTCCGCTCCCTTAGAAACCATTTTGCTAGACTCAGAAACCTGCCCAGACTTGGTATGGCCCAAAGAGATTCCACTCTTCCCTTTATATGTGAGCCCATCTTGGTGGGGGTCACATAACTGAGAAATTCTTTCTTGAAAAAGAATTTATCTTCATGTAATCACACAGCAAAATAACAGTAACAAACAGAAACTGAAGTAATAAGATAGGGAGGCTGTAAAGGAGTGGAAGAAGGAATACATTGTAGGTCAAGCTTGGAGAACCTCTTTCAGAGTGAAGATTACACTGGATTTCAGAGGCATTTTCGGACAGAGGGAATACATTCCAATGGTATGTGGGACCAAAGGCCAAAAGTTTGATTAAAGTTCTTACTGCCAGTAAGTAATAGTGCATTGTAGAAACAATGCAGCGTGACACAACTTTAACTGCAATAGCTCCACACTACAGGATCCTGGGATTAGTAGTTTTGTGAGTCACCAGCACTCTTTGGCAGAGAAAAGTAAAGATCTTGTAAAACTACAGAACCCAGGATTCCACAGGATGAAAATGCATCACTTAAAGTGGTGTCAAACTGTATTGTTTCTACATTATAGATGCACCCTAAGTCTTGGAAGAAGCATTCTGACCTTTTAGCATGGGGAAAGTCTTATAGGAAAGTATCTAATGGTGGTATCATAGGGAAGAGGGCATGCCAAATTATGACCCCAAAAGAGTCTGATTTGGCCCCAGGGCTGGTGGTTCCCAACCCACAACAGCTGCTGTGACCAATCTGTCTCTGTCTATAGATAGCCACCTTTTCCATGGCCCTGATGGAAAGTGGAAAATCTCAGCAGCTCAATTTTGTGGGTTGAGTGCTGGCAGACCGTTCCTCTGCACTTGCTGTGGTGGTGATATCATCCGAAAGGTATGTAACCAACACAAAGTCCACTCAGAAAACCATATTATATGGAAGGGTCCTACATCTAAGAGCACATTTCATGTTATTTTTTAAAAACTGTTTACTCTATGAGCAAGCGTGTCCTCAAAAACAGGCTTCTTCCCAAGTTGAACATAAAGCACATTTTGTTCCAGGAGGATTTGATTTATGATTTATGGTTGGTTCTGCTAAATTGTTTTTATTTGTTTAAAGGGAGCCATTCTTCTCTCTAAAAACTAACGGGAGCTAAGCTTTGTATTTCAGGATGCAGTGGTGTCAATAGGGTTGGTGTTACCCAGTGCGATAATTCATGAGAATTCACAGTGTCACCTCCTTGGACTACCTTCCCCACACCACTCTTCTGCCCCCAACACAAGGCAGCAGTCAGGTCCAACAGCCACACTGCAATCTTTCAATACAATTGTGTTAATGCACTGATAGCTAAGGTGCTGGGTAGGAGAAGCATTGCATTGTCTTTTTTATTTTTCTGTCCACAAATGAAAAAGGTTCTTGATGGTGGCTGAATGGGGTGGAGGAGCAGATGGCCTCTGAACATGTGGCTTGCTATTTTTCACCCTTCTGATTGATTGCTTGGCAAGGATTTTATCCCAGTTCAATATTAGTTGCAAATGCAGGGAATCCTGAAACTTTGAACATTCCATTATTATTTTTTAGACAGTCATCCCCCTGATGGCGCAGTGCGGACTCCAACACAACCCTGTGACACCACTATGAGGATGGCTGCAGTCTTGCTCTAATGCCCATGGATTCACTTTGCCCTGAGCAAAAGGATTCTTTGCTAAACTGGAAACTTCCACATCAGGAGGGCTAGTGAGTCTTCTCCATTTTTTAATCACAACAGTAAAACTTTCCAAAGTGCTGAATGTTATCCCATTCCCCAAAGTGCTGAACTATATTTTGAACTCTACTCCCAGAGCAATTCCAGCAGCTTCCACTTCACTTTCTAAAATTATAGGCTTATCTTCAAATGGTTTCTCCCTGAACGAACCTATCATCTATTCATCCCTTTTATATAGTTCTTTAGTGTACAGTCGCCCTCCATTTTACATATTCACAGAGGGGCGATCTCCATTTAAA